GACGGTTGCTAAGCTCTTGCTTCGGCAGTAAATATTAAAGTCATCCGCGAAGAGTGTAGAATGGACAGGTGGAGAAATGTTCTGTGTGATATTGTTGATGGCTATGAGGAAGAGCGTAACCGAAATTGAAGATCCTTGAGGGACTCCGTTAGCCTGTGAGAAAGTCTTGGATAGAGTTTGGTTGATTCTTACTTGAAATGTTCTTGTTTTAAGAAAGTTACTAATAAAATTGAACATTTGGTTTTGGCTTAGTACTTTAGTGAGACTGTTTAAAATGTGCGGTTTCCATGTTGTATCGTAGGCTTTCATCAAATCGAGACTGATCATACCTAAGTATTGATTTTCGGAGTATGTGTTTTGTATTTCTGCGTGAATTTTGGAAAGGCAGTTATATGTACCTTTATTTTTCCGGAACCCGCATTGTTCGGGAGTGAGATAATAAGACTGTTCTAAAAACCATATTAAACGTTGGTTTACAATTTTCTCTAGGAGTTTACACAAGGTATTTAAAAGTGAAATGGGTCGGTAGCCATCAGTTGAGAATTTGTTTTTTCCTGGTTTGCTTATCGGTATGATGATACTGTTTCTCCAATTTTGTGGAAATACGTTGTTGTTCCAGATGGTATTGTATATTTTTAGGAGTATTTTAAGTGTGTCGATTGTAAAGTTTTGAATAAAGCTATAAGGGATATTGTCTGGTCCGGTACTTTTGCTGGTACATTTTTTGAGAGTTTTCAAAACTTCATTAATTGTTATAGGGCTGTTTAAGTAAGACTGATTAGTATTTTGGGGCGATATTACGGAGGGTTGAGGTGATGGTATGTTTTCGTTTTCCCTTAAGAAGTCGTGGCTGTACATTTCATTGCTGGAGTTTTTTTCGAAATATTTTCCAAGGTGGTGGGCAATTGAAGATGGATCGGTGTTTAAAGATGAGTTTGTGGAGAGATAGATATTACTGTGCTTTTTCCGTCCCTGTAATGAACGGATTTTGTTCCACATAATGTGGGGATCAACCTGGGCACCTATTTCGGAGGTGAAGTTTCGCCATGTTAGAGTTTTATTACTTTTGACCAAGAATCTTGTTTTTGCTCTGAGTTCTTTTAGTTTTATATGGTCCTCGAGTGATCTGGTTTTTATAAATGTTTTCAGTGCTTTATTTTTTTGTGATATATATTGTTTAATTTCATTGTTCCACCACGGAACCGGTGTTTTTTTGGAGGGGGGTTTCAAGTAGCCTATTGTTTGTTCTGCAGTCTCTATGATGATTTCAGTGAATTTGGATACTGTTTTTTCGATATCTATATCTTCATCCGTGAATTCTGACGCGTTGATTTTTGTTTCCAGAAGGTTTGCGAATAGAGGCCAGTCAGGGTTTTTGAGGTTCCATTTTGTTGTAGAGTAGTTTGTTTGAAGTGCATTGGAAATGAATTGTATAGAGATTGGGAGATGGTCACTATTGTATATTTCATTTAATACTTGCCAGTGTAATCTTTGTGCTATGGTAGGTGTAGAGAACGTTAAATCGATAGCTGAAAGGTTTCTGTTCGAGGGATTTATTCTAGTTTGCTCGTTGTTATTAAGTATTACGATGTTATCTTGTTCCAATAATTTTTCTATTATTTTTCCTCTTGAATCGGTTTTATATGAACCCCATGTAATACTGTGGCTGTTAAAGTCCCCGACAATAATAAAGGGACGTGGTAATTGTTTGATAATATTTTCTAAATCTATGAGTGTGAAGTTGAATTGATTTGGGATGTAGATATTACAGAGGGTGGTTTTTGTTTCGAGTGTGATTGATATTGCGACGGCTTCTATGTTTGAATGGATAGGGATTTCCTCCCAAGGAAATGAGTTATTGATGAGTATGCAGACACCACCGCTTGCCCTCAGACAGCCTCTACGGTTTTTAGTTGCATATTGGTAGTTATTTATATAAGGTGGAGATTCGTCATATTTAAGGTTAGTCTCTTGAAGACATATTGCAATAGGTTGATGTAAGTTTATTATAAGTTTAATTTCATCGATGTTTTTATGGAGTCCATTGAGGTTCCATTGTATAATATTTTTTGGTTGTGACTGCATTTGGTGTTTGTAAAGATGATTATTATATAATTTTGAGAAGATGATTTTTTAATTATTTGCTTTATTTATTATTTATACTGAAGAGGGATTGCGTATTCATAATGACTCGAGATATGAGTTACATAGTCTCGTGAGCCTGTTTTTAATCGTGAGGTTTTTTATTTTCGGACGAATCGTGTCTAATATTTCAATCATTTCCATCGGGGTTATGTTAAATTGGTTTAGAATATTAGAGGGATGATCCACGCTGAGGGAGTTTTCAATAATGTATTTGAGCTGATTGAAGTCTATTTTACGGTTGGGGATTCCTTCAAAAACAGTTATGGCTGGGGCTAGTGTTTCGTCCAGTTTAGCTACTATTAGTTCTATGGAGTTGGAGCGTTTAATTTTTTTGTTGGCGGGTTGAGGATTTTTCTTGGATTTTTCGGTGGTAGGCTTGCTTATATTTGTGCTCTTAATTGGTGTTAGGGGTGTATTATGTGTTATTCCTGCATTTGTTTTTTTTTTTTCGTTGGATTGGGATTCTAATAGCTTTGTTGTGAGGATGCTATTATTGGTTTGATGGTTTTGAGTTTCCGTAGGTGTTGTTGATGACGTGTTTATAGGGTTCTCAGTGGTGGATGCATTGTCGGTGTCGCTGGTGCTGGCGTATGATGAGATAGGTCTTTTAATGTGGTCAGCTGGTTCTTGAAGGGGAGTCAGCTTGTTGACAGATTGTTGATAATTGTTTTCGATACTATGATTTATGTTAGTATGGTCCATGATATTTTGATCATTTTGTGAGTTATTATCTTTTTCGATTTCTTTGTTTTCCGGCGGAGGAGGGATATTGCTATTAGTTAAGATCGTATTATCCAAATCTTTTTTGCAGTGGTTTGAGGTGTGACCAGTTTGTTTGCAGATATAGCATAACACGGTGTCGTCCGAGAAGAATATGCGATAATCGGTTTGATCGTAATTAATTAATAATGAACTCGGTAGTCTATGGATATCGTCGGGATGTAAATATACTTGTCGTCGAAAACTGCCTATGTGACCGTATTCATCGTTTGAGAAACCGGCTTTCATAAATGTAATGGGAGATAATATTTTAATGAGGCTATTGTTAATAGCTTTTATAATTATGTCGTGAGGTATAGATGGCTGCACATTGGATATGATGATTCGTTTTGCCGGGCTAATGAGCCGACGATAAGCGATTTGCGTGTTATTTATAACGATATACGATTGTTTTGAGATAATATGGTCAACGATACTCTTACTAGCAAAATAAATGCAGAATCTATTGTTGGATATTCGTGAAGCGAATTTTATGTTATTAGGCGATGTAAGTTGGCTGAATGCTTTGATGTACTCGATTTGCGGGACGTCATTTACTGTATTGAAGATAATTGCTTGGTCTTTTTTTGGAAAGGATGAGTTCGCTGTTGTTTCCGCGAATGTTTTGTGTGAGTTAGATTGTGAATTGGGGGTTATGTGTGTATCATGGTTGTCCATGATGGTGTATAAGGCGGGGGTGGAAGTTGTTACCTATTTGGTTATGGGGGGCCGTAGTATAACAACATACCTTCTTAATTGCAGTGAGTTGCGTAATGCGACGTGTGTGTTACTGCTATCGGAAGCTAAGAAATGCGATAAGCGAAGACCGTGAACACACGTGTGAATCGGTCGGCGGTTACACACGTATTAGGTTAAAATTATATCCAATTCTAATAACATTTTAATTGTATGTAACTTGTAGTAGGTAGCCATTTATAATATTATTATGTATACAAAAAAATACTAATTTCTACTATTACTATTATAAATTGTAATTTATAACCAATGGCAAACATTTACAAACAAAAAATTTTTCGATTTCCATCGTGAATTTAAAAATCTGTGAGTGAGCTCTTTTTAAACCTCCTTAAAATGTGAATTTTGGAAAATTCTTTCTTAGTGTAATGGTCGTTCCTAAGGTAATGTCAAAATGCCAAGTCCCTAGCTATCATAGTTTAGACTCCTACGGTGATCAGTCAGTCAGTCAGGGCACGTTCGATTATTTATGAAATATACCTTCTACGGGATTAAAAATGTATAATATGACACCAACTATTATTCAAAAAACTCCTACTTAAGCTTGCCAAAAACATAAACTAATAAGACTTCCGATGTGGAAAGACATTGGCAATTAGTACAGTTAGAAAAATATGTTGAAATTTATTTATTTTTTTAACTTTTTTCTCGTTTCCTGAAAATTGGGTTTTAACGCGTGATGGAGGTGTTTTGAGTCAAGGACGATATGTGTACTATAATTGACCTGAGCAGATGTGACACATGCACTACCATATTAGATATCAGACCTGGCTTGTTGTGATGGTGTGAGGTGTCGTTCTGCAACACCAAAAAATCTAAAACATGTCCCATTCATGAAGTTAAGGCAGTGGTCTATTATAAGCTATAGCAGTATTTATTTTTGAATATTTTGAACACTATTATTAAATAACGAGAAATTTAAGAACAGCTAAGCTAGGAAAATGACACATTTTCAACAATGCATCAAACCAATATGGACTAATATGTCATTGACGAGTTTGAGTGTTTAATACGAAAGAAGACTCGTTGACTATTAGTTTTAAATAAAAAAATTTATGTTTTTTTTTGAAAGTTTATTCAGCCTATAATAACATAAAAAATATTAAGACTAATGCATTATGAAGATAAAGTTTTAAAATATTAGATAATTTTTATTATCTTATCCTACAACAATTGGTTTTTGGGCGTATTGTTTAAAAATAAAAATAGTTATGTAAACATTCCTCTGCATCATCATAGATCTAGTCAAATTCACGTCACCTATGTCTAATAATGTATAATTAATGAAATAATATTAATGACGGGTGTGCGTTTGTTTTCTTTTTGTAGGTGACACGGTCATGCGTGAAGGGACGGCCGCCACGAAGATGTACTTCGTGCACGAGGGCGTTGTCGAGGTGTTGGTGGCCGGTGGCCAGGAGGTGGTGGCCACGCTGAGCGACGGAAGCTACTTCGGCGAAACGTGCCTGTGGGCATCTGGGGCCCGGCGTCCAGTCAGCGTGCGGGCCGACACGTACTGCAACTTGTTCTCGCTGTCGGCGACCGCGTTTACCAGGGTCATGGACCGGTATCCCAAGTTCAAGGACCACGTGACCTCCGTGCTGGTCGACCGCGCCAACCGGATGGCCAACATAGGTCAGCGCGTGGTCCCCGGAGACACTAAGCTGTGACATGGCGGCAAATAATTATATAATAATATTACTCCAATATTGTTGTTTTTTATTCTTCTCGAATACCCCCACCCCTCTCAACAACCTATAATAATAATAATTATAATATATTACAAATGTGTTTTTTGATTTATTTTTTTTTTAGCGCTGAACGTTTATTATTGCCATACGATTAAACTATTATAATACTTAGATCTTATGACTGTTATATTATAATAAATAATAATATATCATCACACTATGTTTTACACAATATTATTTTGATTACAGATGAATTAAAAAATTAAACATGGTAAGCTAATTTCGTTTTATTTCTATTCAGGGTAGCCGTCTCCTCCTCCTTATTAATAATAACATGATTATCAAGGTCTGCCGTGTTGCAAAGAACGACGGTAAAGATGATTGTTGGAGAAATAAAAAATAAATAAATGTTTAGGGACGGGTCGACGAAGAAATAGTGACCGCCGTCGGAAAACTTCAATCGATTGATTTGTTGCCCCTGAGGATTCGAGTGCCGGTTAACGTTGGATATTGCCATTGGGTTGGTGTGTGTGTGTGTGTGTGTGTGTGTGTGTGTGTGTGTGTGTGGTTAAGGGCTTAAGGGATTTAAACGTTAAGAAAAGTACAGTGTCGTCGTATAAGGTACATCTCATTATATAAAGGTATTATCACCAGTTTATTTAAAGGAAATTTCAAATAACTTAACCGTCAGATCACGCAAATTTTACAGCGTTAAAACTTGCAACTATAATATACCAACTTCAGGAAAGTATAATAATATTGTCAAAGACTTCATTTAAAAAATACGATACTATTATTATTAGACATACCTTATGACTTTGGTCTTTGGCTTGCAAATGAAAAATAAATGCATTGTTTTTCCGAATATTTACTTTCATATTGAACGAAAACAAATGGATTTAGAATTACGTACGTGGATAAGACAAAAATAAATTTCGAACCGATGACAAAAGTTTTGACACTTTAATTTGATTTTACCGCCACTACGTTTTTTTCTATATGAAATTGATTTTTTTTCGTTACGGACGACGTGTATTGTTTGACTTGCCGTATTTATTTTATACGATTTAATAATACTTATGCCCAACCGGATTGTTTTTCGGAGAAGAAGAATACCTTTGAGGAATATTCAATGGTATGTAAATCAGGCGTGATCAAATATATACTTAGAAATTGGAATTAAAATCTATACTGACGGAGACGACTGTTGTTAAAGAATGCCATAGACAATGACGGTAAATTAATTTGGTCCACAGAACTACTGCAGATCATGAATAATGTATATATACCAATAATAATATAATATAATATAATATGTGTTGGAATATTAAATTAACTATGTATTATTATAATAGGAAACCAATATATTGTGTTCACAATATATATAAGTATATAATAATGTGATTGGTAATAAAATAATTGAACCTATTTATGAATAAAATCAACTGATGTTTAGTGTAGTACTTGTATGGTTTATTAATAGTGGTTTTCATTAAAATGACAAGATCATATAAATTAAAAGCACTTCTGCCGCATGGTTGAAAAAGTGACCTAAAATGTAGTTCTTTTCAAACGGAATGCGGCGCGCACAAAATTGTTTAATTTAAATTTGCTCCTATATAGTTTATTGTACTCATCCAATCATTTATGAGTTGTATAATTGTTTATTTCAACGGAGAGAGAATAAATTAGTGACATAACAGTTCAATTAACTACACGATTGACGTCTGAGATGATAGTGTATACGATTTAGTCTTTGAAAATTAAAAACGTTTGTTTTTCGATATAATTAAGAAAAAATAAATGAAATAATATAATATTATTATGTGAGTATTTATTATGAATACAATTTCCCTAAAAAATATCTATACATCATTTGTTTAAATATATATTTTATACGTGGTGTACCTACGTAAGTTAAACTTCTACGGGTTTATATTGCACGAAAGTCACATAGTAACAAAATGAAAAAACACATTACTTTTTAGACGATATTGTTCAACCGATTTTATTGGAATCCATCCAAATAGCTTCAACATAGATTTTCCTCGAAACCCTCAGTCGAGGAAGACCTTCTCATTCCGAAGCATTTAAATATTATAAAGTAAATTTAATTTTCTGAGTATCTATAATTGTGTGTATCATATTGTAGTGGATTATCGTCATTAGATCGAAGTTAAAAACAAGAGAATTCATAGGAAGTTTTAGTATTTTGGAGATAAATGAAAAACTTTTGTTAAAATATAGGTAGCTAGACAAGTTAATATTGTGACTCTATAATAATACAGTAGAAATCGGTTATAACGAGTTTCAAGGGCCAACTAGTTTTTCTCGTTATAACCGGTAACTCGTTATATGCGGTTAGAACGAACATTCGTTGAAACCGATTAAAAGCGGAAATACAAAAATAAAACCGACTTTTTTTATTTTAGACAAAAAATTTTTATTTACATACATTATTTATACATTTATTATTGAATTTATTATTTAACTTGAATTGATTTAATTTTTATTTAATTTCTTAAAATAATCTTTGATCGAACTTTGCTTCGTGTTAGAGTTGATCGATGTTTATATCCATATCTACAACTAAAGATAATATGTCAATGATTAACCGACCTAAATACGAAAATAGTTCGTATCTTGCAGGTACTTGTTCGTAGTAACCGGAAGGTCGTTAGTCAAGTTAGCTTTATTTTACTCGTTATAGCCGATAACTCGTAATAACCATACTCGTTGTAAACGTATATTTTAACATACAATCATATGCGCTCGTGCCGGGACCTAACGTTTTGCTTGTTGTAAGCAGTATCTCGTTCTAAGCGATGCTCGTTATAGTGATTTCTACTGTATACTATAAGTCATATTACATCGATGACAACAATTATTATTGTTAATTTTGTTTCATTTGTGTAATATTCCTCTAATAAAATATAGTTATGCTATTATAATATAAATATTTGTTTTTTTGGATCTATGGAATATTTCCCACATTTGTTTACTTAAGTCCATATCCTCCCAAATAAGGCTTTAATAAGGTAATTGTACAGTTTTTTAGTTGTATAAAGTATATAGATAATAATATATATTTTATTAGGAAAAACTATTATATTTTAATTCACTGAAAATTATAGTATGGAGGTCCTATTAATTTATGTATTATTAATTAAATACCTACTGACACTCAATATATAGGAAATACATAATAAAATACACCTATTATGCATATTTTATGATAATCTTTAAAATATTATGCTGATTATCTTTCACCCATAATACTATTATGTTTCACATCAGCATGATATACGTTAAAAGCTTTATTATTATTTTCCAATCAAAAAGTAATTATCTTGACTAAGTGATTTAATTGTATTAAAACAATGACCACACTATAAATTTGTACATCTAATAGAAAACTAGTTAATGCTAAAATCCTACTTGAATCTAATAATAGTATATGTACTACTTTGTAACTATAAAATAATTACTAAAATTATAGGTATTACACACTACCTATAAAATAATAGTATATTGGAAAGTGTATATTATATTATTTTTGATTAATTTATAAGGATAATCACGCGAAAATTATTTACATAACAATAGTCAATATTATAGTAAAGCTTTTTATAATATTGTTGTAGTCAACTAGAAATTTACTGCATTGTAGCTTAAGGGGGCTGCAGCAGGTTTTGTCAAACGTCGAAAGTCATGTAGATTTGACCATTCTAAACATTAATTTTATTTGTTATAATATTTTTCAATAAATTTAAATTCCGTATCATAAAACAAACCTTAAGGGGGCTGGAGGAGTCTCCAGTCAATGAAAAAAAAGTGACTTTTAGACCAATAAGCTAGGCAAAACTGGAAGAACTTGGTTCGATAGATTTTAATTTTGAATTGGATTATGATTGATCAACAAGTTTACTAGGGAATGATCGAGGCGATTTTGAATATTCCAATTATTGTTAGTGTCATAATGAATAATATAAATACAAAAATATCATATTTTTTCGATATTTTTATTCATGGATATCACAGCTGAAAAAAAAATTTAAAATCTCCTCAATCTTTCCCTAGTAAACTTGTTGATCAATCATAATTCATTTTCAAAATTAAAAACTGTCAAACCAAATTCTTCCAGTTTTGTTTAGCTTATTGGTCTAAAAGTCACTTTTTTTTCATCTTCTGCAGCCCCCTTAATGCAATAATTGTAATTTATGTTGAATTTTTCAAATTTAACAAATTATAGGGAAGAATGATATTCAAATTTTATATCGGAAGATGTGAAAACGCCAGTTTAAACGACGTAAATTGGTCAAAATAATAATTATCAGCCCAATCAGCTACAACTACTACATTTTAGATTCCGAGCGAAGAGATGAATGTATTGATTTTACAATGATGTGTATATTTTTTAGAAATTTTTTTTTTATTTGTTTACACGACAAGTAGTTGAAATAATGCTTCGATTTTCAACTTCAGCTAGTATGTTGTTCGATGGGAAAGTGAATATTGTTGGTGCATTTTTTAAAGATCAAAATTTAAAATTCAAAGTAGATTTGATAAGCGCTATGAAAACCAAAAGAAAAATTAAGGAAAAACGGGAATTTTTAAGCAAAATCGATTTTTGTTTTTGGTGTAACTGTGAAGTAAATGACCGTAGATACATGCAATTTTCACTGGTTGCTTACATTAGTATTTTATATACATAATACAATTTTGATTTGTTTTGAGCTGTTTACGGACATTATCAATTTTAAATTGTCTTAGTTTTTTTTTCTATGAATGTCAATAAAATGTTATTTGTTGGATAAAAAAGCTTGAAATTTTAATACAAGGATCTTAGTTTATTGTTTCAATGACATTTAAAAATATTAAAACTCCATAGAAACAATTTTTTTTATAAGCATTTAAAGTTCGAATTTGACATAAAGCGTAAAAATCACGAAAATGTGCAAATTATTTTGAGTTAGAAA